TATTAATAAATTGTTAAGTAATAAACGTCGAAATCAGCTATAATTTCAAATGATCGGTAAATGATCGGCAAGTGGTCAGATATTTTTTGGAGGGAAGTGTATCACCACCTCCAGAGGGACATCTTGAGAATATTGCATCTACAAAAAAGATATATAATTATTAAATATTCTTTAAAATATTCTAAATTAAAATATAATGTTTATTACTTACATTATTAAAAGCTGATTCATAACTTTCCCAAGTTTCAATATTATATACTATAGCAATTCCTTCTAAAGAAGTTGGTGGATATTCCATTGGTAGTGTAGAATATCTGATCTTACCAATTCTCATTTTCTTTGTCATTAAATTTATTGTTTCATCTTCTTTGTCAAGTATGACCAAATCTTTTTCAATCTAAAAATTTATTATTGTTGGTCTTTAATTTTTACATATATATTATCTTAAATTTCTTTATAAAATTATTCAAAATATATTACAAGTATACTGTAAATATGGATAATATCGAAATTATGACGATAATTCTACACCGGAGAAAATACCAAATGTTAGTTATTATAATAATTATCATGCTGTAATATACATATATAAACTCATTATATAAGATTAAAATTAGTTATAATAACAAGACATTATAATAAATAAATTAATATTATAAAAACACGTCATTATAATAAAATCATTCACTGCGAAACCACTCATTATATTTAATATAGTGAAAGAGAAAAAAAAAAGTTTATTCATTGCGAAATCACTCAAATTGTCAGACTCAAATAATTTTAGGCAAGTTACTGGACTGCGTGGTCCGATGATCAGAACCCAAATTCATATGACTGCACTCAAAAAGCTGTACTCCGTAAGGATATACTCTAATCAGAATAAAATTTTGAACTAATGATACTGTGTATAAATTTATATCTTCTACAACATTTGTATTTTAATTATACTCCTCCCAATTTTCTAAAATATTGTGCGGAGGATTTTAACTCAACCTTTGAAAAATTGATTGTCATTCCAACCTTTTCATTACTTTTTGATAGGACCGTGGGGATTTTTTGATTAATTTCTGACAGAAACCCTCGAAAATATTGAATGTATGTATTCCAAATTCCAAGTTCAAACATAATCATATCTAAATAATATATATCTGAAAATTGAGTTCATACTATATAGAGTACACTTCTATATAATTCCCTGTCTGAATCCACATTGGTATAAAATGTTTACAGAAATTGAAACTACTTCGATTTGCCATAATTTTCACTTATCAAAACTTTTCTAGGATGTAAATCACGATGAATATTCCTAAATTTATGAATTATAGCAAGATTGTTAATTTTTCTTGCCAAGTAGTCTTAATTTTTTTTAAAAAAAAAACATATCTCCATCAGCTGCATGTGAAAAAATATTTAATAGATTTCGGTATTTGGATCTTGAAAAACACAATATAACGATATTTGATGTTGAAAATTTAACTAATTATCAAATATTTAAAATAAATTCTTAAGTAGTTTGCATATTATCTCACTTATCGAATTATCTATAATTAGAATAAATCCATTCTAAATATGAAGTTTATGAAGTTGCATTTCTTTGGGTATCTCGCATGAATTCGTCAATCTTTTATTTCCACTAATTATTTTCTTACAGAAACCTAGAACGCCAGTAATAATAACTTACAATGAAAACATATTTCATATATTTCACTTAATTATTTCTATATCTTTAAAAATTAAAAAATTAAGAAAAAGTTTTTGTTGGTGATAATCACGGTATTATGTATCACAAAAAAGTAAAAAAATAATTGACAAATTACGGTCATTATCTTCACAATAAAGGTGTTTTTATCAAGTGAATTTATAATATTTTTACTCATTTACAACTTCTTCTGCATCCTTTATATTTATGAAGGAATTTTCAAAGTAATAAAAAAATTCTGTATTTTTTCTATTTAGCAAGCACAGAATTTCAAACGAAACATTTCTTTGTTGCAAATTCTGAAGTGCTAATTTCTATAATGACAGAAATATGTAATTTAAAGAAGGTCAATTGGACGTTCAAAATTAATATACACCCAAATAAGCAAACTTTATACTAATGTTGGGAATAACATCCCGACATTTTTTTCAGTAAGACTATCTACATACCGATGTTTGTGCACAATGGAATATACCTTCGTTAGAAAAGAAACATTCGTGACCTTAATTAATTTCAAATTATCATTATTATATCCTTTATGGAGGTGCCAAATTTGAAAATTAAGTTATCATTATTTTGCCGTTCAGCGGATAAAAATTAGTTTAACATCCCAATTATCTATAATACCATGGAAGCTAACATTTATCCCATCATTAGTGATTGGGCCGCGCCATTTGTTAACTTCAATAGACTGAATTGGAGCCAATATTAATTTACAGAATCAGGGATAGACAAAAGAATAACCATTGTGCGCCCAATCCCATTGGCGTTGAATGAGTCGCCGCCATTAGTTCCGGAGGCTTAAACATTGTCCATGTAGCCGTTAATTTATTCCATCCAAAAAAATATATATAAAGTTATTAGAGCAGATGCTAGTTAAATATTTAAATATTTTGTCATGATCATTCAAGTTTACCTTCAATTAACATGAGCGCCATCGATAATAGGCCAAAGACAATTGCAATGATTATGGAAAATTTGATGGCGAATTTATATATATATTTTTTTAATAGGAGTAGTAAGTATGTTTTGATGAAGTTTTGATTCGATCCATGCTATATATATATGAAAAGAATTTCATAAGGTCTCGAGGAATGGCAGAAAATCACAAATTCCTTTTGCGATATTCACATTTTTATTATTAAATGATTTTCAATATTTTAGGTTTAAAAGGAATACAAAATTGTAAAAAAATAAATAGTCAGTTATTAGATTTTAGAATCAGTTAAATCGAGATTAATCTTCGGATATTCGATTCTAATCAATTTTATTTATTGTATTGCGTAATGATCACGGACAAAAATTTTTAGTTTTTCGATGCCTAATTCAGCTTCAAATAATCTTGGCATTCCCTTTTTTAACATCTGCGTGACAAAAAATTAGCAAAATGTATGTCGATCATTAAGAGAAACCGCCGGAAAAAAATCAATTTTACTTTTATATTCCAAATATGAATTTTATGTCAAAATATGTTCAGATTTAGCATCAACTCATTTTTTATTTTTTTATCAGCCGTTTTCCCCTTTTCAATTACAAAGGTTTCATGATAATCTATAATTATTTTTTTAGTATATTGATCCATTCAGACAGCTGCTTAACGTAGGTTTTTCTTTTTTTTTCATTTTTTTTTTACTTTCTATTTTTAAGATTATAACGTAAGTAAAGCTTTTATTATTTTATTTTATAATTTTTCATTGTTAAATCAATTGAATGTAAAGTTTCATTTATTTTTTTTCATTTTTGAACTTTTTATTTTAATTCAGGATTTTTGGCAAATAAGTAAGTTCTATTTTTTCACTTCATTTTTAAAATTTTTTTTTTTAGTATCATTTTATTTCATGCAGGTTTTTCGACCGCATCTGATGTTGCATCAGTTAAATAAGTGATTTTATTCATTTTTGTGTCCTTTTTCTTCATTATTTTTAAACTTCAGACCGAAGTAAACTAACCTGAAAAATTAAAAGATCAAATTAAAAGATCAAATTAAACACATTCACTTTTTTATTTTACTTTTAAATTCTTTTATAACCAAATAGAAAAGAACTTGTTACCTATTTAATTATTTTATTTTAAAGCTGTGAGGCGAAACTTTAAAATAAAATTATTTAACTTTTTATAATATTTTCAAATTTTAATTATAGAGAAAAAGGAATCGTTAATTTTTTTTTATAATAGAGTATCAAGTAAAATAAATAAAAGAAACAGTTAAAAAAATCTTAAAACTCCCCAATGACCTTAACAAATTTTACCAAATCATCTTCCTCCACCAACCTTATCCTTACGCCTTTTTATGATTTTATTTTCGATCGTGCTTATAATCTTATTTGGAAATCTAGAGTATATTAATTAAATAAATTGCTTATGTACAATTCATAGATAAAAATTATAATATCATATTCGAACAATAATTACATTTCAATTTCTTTCACTAAGAGCTTTACTTTTACAACTACGCAAGTCATGACCTGTTTCTTGACATCTCTTACACCTTCTTTGTTTCTTATTATTTCCATCTGTCTCTTTATTTTCTAAGTCATCTTCCGATCTTAAATTCATTTTTACTTTTTTATTTCGTTTTGCAGTCTCACCTTCACTTAAATAGCGATTTGGAGGTCGTCCACGATGTCTTGAAGTAATAGGGTTAGAGCAACCAATTCCGTGCTCAATTTCATTAGTGTTGTTTTCATCTGTTATTTGCCGAGTGTTATTTAAACTTTCCTTATTATGCTTTTGAAGTAATTCTTGCTGTTTATCTTCAATAAAATTTTGAAATATTCCATTCACTTCATTAAAACAGTCAAGCTTCTGAGCTAAATCTAATACTTTTCTTGCAAGCCCCAAAGATCTTCCATATTTTGCTTTAGCTGAAACAATACTTTGAAGTTCTGCTGTATATACTTGCCCTTCACGGATCTTATTAATATACTTGAAATTAATTTCATTATAAACAACTTCAGTATGATCATTCTTAACAAGTGATATTGCATCTAATAAAGCTAAATCATTACTAGTAACATCCAATTTTGCATCCTGATACCAGCACTGATTTATTAATGTAATATTAAATTTTGCCCATAAGCTTTTTCTGAGAACTTTAAAAAATGTCTACAATGAATTTAAAGTAATACCAGAAGATTACAGATGCAACAATGACTTCCATTCGCTAATAAAATAATGAAATAAGATTTTGTTGGAGATAGTTCGGGTTTAACATGCCAAATTTCAATAATTGAAAATCCTTGTACTTTTTCTATCATATGCTGAAATAAAATATGTGTGGCATCATAATTATCTTCTCAATAACCATCTTGATAATTATCTCCAATCAAATACTAAAAGAATTTAAAATTAGTATCAGCTCTAACACTAACTAACCATTATTCTATGCTTTCTAATTTCAACTCTAATTCTTACCTAATTCTTACCCTAATCCTAACTATAGTTGATACTCATACCCTTTCTTTTAAAATCCCATCCCATCCCATTCCAATCCCAATCCCAAATCCCAATCCCAATCCCAAATCCCACCCAAATCCCATAATCCCAATCCCAAATCCCAATCCCAAATCCCAATCCCAAATCTCATAATCCCAAATTCTAAATTTCAAATTCTAATGTTAATATTATTTAAATTTATCATTTATAATACCTACAAATATTTGTAATTTATTAGTATAAAAACTAAATTTAGTTAATTAAATTTATAAATAAATAAACTTAATAAAGTTATAATAAATCAAATAAAAAAATAATGATAATCTTAATTTTTTTAAAACTATTATTTTATTACTAAAATTAAGATTTTAAATTTTCTACCATTTCATCAACATCAAAATCTAGATCTCTATGATCAATTCTGATTTCTTCTTCTTGTTTATCAGAATTAATATTATTTGCATTTAATATACTTGCTGATAAATCAATATAATCAATAATTTTTAAATTATCATTATTTAATTCTTCTATATCTTCAATTTCATCATGTTTAAAAGTAAAATTTGTTTCAAATTCTTCATTATCTTCAAATAAATTACTTTCATTTACCATTGCTAATGCAATTTGATCAAAAGTTTCATCAAGTGTTTCTAAAGAAATGTTTTTATTTAAAAACTTTAATTTTGATTTTGCATTTGTTACAAGATATGAATATATTTATGCCATTTCTTGAAATCATTCTATTTTAATTTTAAAATAAATTAAGTAATTTAAGTAATAATAATTAAAATTATAATAATATAAACTTTATTAAATTACCTAATACACTGTTTGCTAAGATACCATCCTAAGATTGAAAATACATGCTCACATGTTGCATTATGAGAAATAATAGCATGCATTTGAAGTACAAGCTTTCTAATATGATCTTCTTCTTTCTTTAATTCTATTGATATTCACCAATTTGTAAGAGTATTAATACCTTTAACATATGGATTATCAAAAGGATATTCACAATATTGATATAAATCAAGTTAAGTAAATAAAATATCAGTACTTAATCTTCCATCACCTTGATTTTTCCAAAGATTTATTGCAGATTTTGATACTTTTCTAAAAATTGTTAGTAGAAAACTAGATGCTAAAATAAATAAATAATTAATTAATATAATTAAAATATTTAATAAAATAAATAAAGTTTTAATATTTTATCTCGATATTTAGGATGAAGAAAAAATGCTAGCATATATATATCAACATTAAATTCTTTCCATCTTTTATTAAAAATA